TGACGTCGGGAAGTAATGGTAAATGCTGGGTTTGAACTTGTGAAGGAGCTGCTAGATTTTTCGTTTTTGTATTTTCTTCTGTGGACGATGCAGTGTAGTTTGCTTACGTATGGAGGTTTTTTGAAATATACCAAATTCTTTTTTCACCACAGCTTTGTCACTGCTAACTTTTTTGAAAGACGAAAAGATTGAAAAAGCAGAAAAAGTCTTTTTTTTAGCAGTTGAAGAGGCTATAATTTTGATGAGTAGTGAAGCACTGAAGGGCCAAATATATCTAAAAGTGCGTGACAAGTGTTGAGGACGTACACTGGGAACGAAGGGGGCTAGGGATTGTTGAAAACACCTTTTTTCTTAATTCTTTGTTTGGAAGGAACTTTCACAGTGAAGTAGCATCGCATAATCACTACAAACTGTTAAACACAATGTGTCTTTGGATTATTGCTGTTGTTATTATTGTTGTCGGAATAATAGTGGTTTCCCCCAACTGATTAATTACCGATCAATAGTTATGGTATCTTGGATTTATTCGTATTGCCTAGCTTTGTGAAAAGAGCGTTCTGGTGATGAGCTACCTGAATGACCAACCAGTCGACGGAATACAGCGATGGTGAGACAAGAATGACTGTTTTAGCTGAAAATACGCAATATCTGTTCAGTTGGTACATCGCTTAGTTTTGTTTCGCTTTCTGTTCTTTCTCCTTTATTTACATATTTGAATCAGAAAATAATCTTCTCACATCATTACAGTTGTATCTTTAAAGTCAATAGAAGAACCGCTATTGTTTCTGTGAGCAAACAGAAATCAACAATATTAAAAGGAGTTCTGAAAAATATCAAATACAAAGAAAAAAAAGAAAGAAGAACGAAAGCAAGTTTTTAAAAACTGTTACCAAAATTTCATTAAATTTTGGTCGCTTAAAAAATAGGCCCAAGAAGTCTTGGCAAAATTTAATGTAAATTTGTTATGGTGACATTTAATCGTCATTTATTCACCTATACTGTGAAGTTTCAAATGATAAAACAGATAATGAAAGATACTGATTATTCTGTGATATGGAGACCGATGTTCATTTTAATTTTTGTTTGCTGAAACTCGTGTTTTGCATTCTTTAATCCTTGTTTTTTTTTTTTTCCTTTTTCAGTAATTTTGCATTTCTCTTTGGTCATTATTTTCTACATGAAGAGTAACAGTATAATATTTTCTACAGTATAATAAGTTTTATCTGTTTCGTATGAAAAGTTATTTGGGAATACTTGATGGAGAAAGCTTGATTATTTGACGCTAATTTATTAGGTTTATTAGGTTGTATTAGGTTAATTAATAATTTTTTTGTTTCTTTATGCAGCTGTAGTTTAAAAACATTGTGGGGAAATAGGTGGACTCAACGATGACGACGGCGATGATGACAAGAACCACGTCAAAATTCCCGCAGGATGATCGTGTCGTGACGACACAGATCGTGCCACCTGAAAATTGGTTATCTGTAGTTTGGACTAAGCATGTCTTTAACGTCAGTGTCTTTTTCCTTGACTGAACGAAAATTAGTAGATGAAGTGGTATATTCTTCAGTGAAATGAGCACCAGTTAGGTGACTGATTGCTTGTTATTTTCTATGATTGTTGACAGTGCTGCTGATCGACTTGTTGACAAGTAATCGAGATTTTTCACTTTAACTTGTTATAGCAGACCTATGTTACCGTATACTTGGTTACATGTTTAAGGTGTAGTTTAGATTACCATTAAGCGGTATAGCGAACAATATTTGTTAATGTTATCCGCAGTAATGAGTTACTTTTAGTGAACGTTTCCGGGTGTTCCTGGTTTACTTTCCTATTTGTTTCATTCTGAGAAAATTTCTTTTGTGGAAATGAAATTAAAAAAACTACTGGAACCAAGTTCTGAAATGTTATTTTTGTGAAACAGAGATGAACGACAGAAAAAGCATTAGAAATGGCTTGCTTTTCAAACAAATATTTTTGTCGGCAGAATAACACTGAGCAAGTAATGAGAGGCGTTAAGTACTCCACTGTCGAATTGACACTTCGTAGAGATGTCGAGCGACTGAAGTACTGTTGTTTTGAGAATGACGCTTTGGTCCGGTCTTTTCTGAAGCAGCTGGAAAATGATTGGTGTTTTGATATATGGAAGTTTTTTGAAGTTCATTTTCAAAGGCTACTGAAACTTACAAATCATCGACATGTTTACTCTATTACAAGAAGTATAGATTAGTTTAAAAGTTTTATTATTGCTTCTTTTTAATTTGCTGTTCAGTCAAGTCAGTCATTTACTTTGCTTTATGCTTTAATTTTTTCACACTTGATAATTTCTTGGAACATAATATGATATTTCAATTTAAGCAAAGGCTACAACTGAAAAAATACAACAGACAACAAAATAATTTTGAAAAACTACGCAGATTGATAGCACAAAGAGATGACTTACAGTGGATGATAATTTTCTAAAAAGTAAAGCTGTTAAAACACCAAATGTTTTGGTTGTTGTTGACAGCAGTTTACAGTATTAGTTCATGTGGTACTGGCAGAATTATGGTGCATTTAAGTTTGATAATTGTTTTTAGGGTCATATTCAAGATGCTGAGTCTTCACAATTTATTTGTCTGCAGAAATTACTTTGATCTGCGGAATTAAATGTTAAGCAAAATCAAAATCAAAAATGACCACCGTTTTTGACGCTTAGTAACAACGACATCAGACGCAAATGACCCTAAAAACCTTTAAAATTTTTTCAGATTTCTACAGTTAGGAATAGAAGCAAATAAAAAAACTGCCCTTGTTTGTGCCCTTAATATTGCCAAAGAATTCATTTATTGACTTTATACCGGGAGTTATTGAATGTGTTTTTTTTTTTTTTTTT